ACCCCCCTCCCCCTGCACCCCTAAGGATCCCTATGAGGAAAGGTTGACCACGTGTTCTGTAGGAGCCGCTGGGGCTGACAAGACTTCACATGGTTTAGGGTTTAGGGTTTATAGGGTTTAATTAGGGTGGCAGCATTGTGGTGCAGTTCGCTTGCAAAGTGGTGGAATGTAGCTGTGGAGTTCACCGGCCAGCAATCCTAAAACAAACCCAGAGCCCTGGAGTCTGTACGCGCACCTACTGATTCTCTATAAGTTGCGGCCTTTTGAGTCCACAGGAACCTCCAGAGTAATCAAATTCTATGTAGTCCAGAATAAAACCCTACAACCCCCAGGAATGCCCTCGGAAATCCGCATGGCCGCCTTTCAAACCACCCCACGATAAAACCCCGCAAACCACCCGATACGTATCCCCGAAAGAACCTGCGACAATTCGCACGAAAAACACAGACCAACGAAGCAAAGAACAACTACCCAACCACTTCACAACACCAGAACAGAACAGCCAGAAACAGCTAAAAGCCTGAACCCTTAACCCACCACAACCTCAACCCTCGACCCGAATACCAACCCCTAGACCCCTAAACCCCTAAAACCCCATAAACCCTAAGCAGTGGCCCCTGGCCCAAGCGGTACCCGGGAGGCCCAGTTGACGGCAGATCTGCAGGGCTTCGCGCTTCCCAGCTTCTTGCAGTCTTGAGGGTTTAAGGTTTAGGGCTTGGGGTCTATAGAGGGTTTCGGGTCTAGTCCAAGTACCCAGTAATCATATCCTCTGCCAAATAGTAACCTACAGAACTATCCGAAACCTAAGTACCTGATTCTTGGATCCTTTGGACCCGTCTGGGGTTTAGTTAGGGTTCAGGGTTCGGGGTTTTGGGTTTGGGGTTCAGGCGTCATTCAGGCTACATGGGCCAGCATGCGCCCCTGTGTTAGGGCGTTTAGGCTCCTGGGATTCCTTGCTATAGTTACCAAGAGGATCCATATACACTACAACTACGGAATGAGGTCCCTCAAGCCATAATAAGGATGGTCTTTTGGGACCTGATACCATAATACTGTTGATGGACAAACTCCTGCATGACCCTAAGGACTCTAAACTATGGGAACTATGGTATATTCCTTATAAAGGGTCATGCAATATTTTGTCCATCAACAGTAGTAGTGTATACGGACCCTCTGGGTTATATAGCATGGTATACGCGCAAAGCCCTGTTCGACCTGGCCAGGCTCCACACCTAGGCCATTTAGGGTACCCCGAGACTCCAATATCCCTTAATTAAGGAATATACCTTAAATTATACTAGGATCCCTTATATGATCTAAGGTATATTCCTTAATTAAGGGGTTTTGGAGTCTCTGGGTAGGTCTTAGAAGGGGCCCCAACCCTGTAATAGTGGTATAAATGGAATATAATAGGGCCCTAATATAATCCTTATAGTCACTATTACAGGGTGGGGGCAGCTTCTAAGGTAGGTCCTAAGTCTCTTCATCAATCATGCCACGGCGATTTGGACCTGATGTGTGAGAAGCGGGGGTTCCCCTAAGAAGCCGGAACAAGCTGTAGGCTAAATCCCAAGCATACCATAGAACCTTCATCAACCCCCATCTTGTTTGCTGAGTTCATAAGACGAAAAATACATACACTCTTTCAGTTGTCTGCATCAGGGCTAATAGCATCCCAAAAAGGTGTAAAGTGCGCTCACTCAGCCATTAAGCCTTTCTTTCAGGGCCCTAAGATTAGGGCGCGTGCAGTCTTGTAAGCCCCTGTCACGCAAGGGGCTTATTCATCAGGGTTCTGCCCTACTGTAGATTTCGCAGCCATGAAACCCAATGCACATCATAAGAAGCCATCTTGTACAAGCCTATAATGTTCTTGGGTTCTGTGGAATACTAAAACATAAATTCATCAACAAGCAGTCCAAGCAATAAGTCTCTTGTATGACAACCCCCCCCCCCCCCCACCGCAAAAAACAAAAAACAACAAACAATAAATAAAATTGATCCTACACATGCCACTCTGATGCAGAACAAAATGCTGAGTGGCCTGCCCGAGTATGCAAGCCACTACCAAAAACAAGCTACAAAGTCTGACAGGAGAGTGCTCAACATGATTGACAATCTCGGTGAAGCTCATGTCAAATCACAGAAAGGGTTCTGAGAGCTCAAACGAAAAGCCAGCAGACACGTCTCACCGCCTAGGTTTTCCCTCGCCGGGACTTTTCGGCGGAAAGTTACCGATTGCAGCTGGGCCAAGCACGTTGAAGAAAAGCTTAATTGTTCTTCGGGTTTGCGGATTGACGGGCAGAGGTGCTTGGGCACAGGGTCACTGCAGCGCCGCATACTTCTCCGCTCGGGAACCTATCGGAAGTACTGTCCGGCTCGCTTCAAGTTTCGTAAGTGGCAGGATGAAGATTGGCGTTTGAGGGCATCAGGTGTTTCGCAGTCAATATGCGGCTGTCGAAGAATGTACGCTGGTGACAGTCCGAGGGTACAAGAAGGGACCCTTAATAAGGACCCCTAGGTATATACCCTTATTACAGCTATTACATACCCATTATATAGCCCATTACAGTGTACCGCCAAGTATGATGAAATATCACGTGTCGGCTCAAGGGTTGCCCTAAAGGGAACTCCAGAAAGTTGGAATATGGATTCATGGTAGGATCCCCTATAGTTTACCTTAAAGGGATTATGAAAATGATAGTCCAACTTTCTGGCTTCTACTGTACTGTGTGGTTTAAGAGTTTAATTTGGTTCACGATTCAATGCAAGGCTTTAGGGGTTCGGAGCCTGGGTTCCAATAGATCTATCCGTGTTTGGGGTCGAATCTGGGCTTACTTCAGGGGTTTAGGGTTTAGGGCTTTAGGGGTTTAGAGCTTACCGAGAGGCCTACACCTTCAAAGCTCGACCGCGCTGCTTCGGACTCCACCGAAAGCATTCTGTCACGAGATGGCTTGGCCATCCGCAACGGTCCCAAATGGGACCAAAGAAGAGTCCAACTGTTGAGATGCAAGGCAGAGTGTGATGGGTTTAGGCATAGAGGTGAGGGTCTTGGGTTTGCAGTATACGGTGCGATTAAGGTGTAGGATCAAGGTATTACTACGGGGCGACACCTACCACCACCATCAACCACGCCTGCCCAGTGCCGGAGGTTCAGAAGAAAACATTCTTTGGGGTTTAGGGTTTAGGGTTCAGCTCGAAACCGCCCCAACCCCGGCACCCTGGACCCACCTAGAACCCTCGATCCTTCACTCAGCTTTGCATTTTCAGCAGAGCTGTACTGTGCGGTGTTCATGCTTTCTTTAAGAAGCACGGGCCTCACCGACTTGCAATAATACATGTAGCATCTGGCCGTACGCAGCTGGTCGTTGTGACCTAACTTAATCATTAGAATAGGGCTTTGGGGGTGCATTATGGAATAGCTATACTATGGAACCATAGGAATACTATTTGTGATTATCTATGCCTCTACATTAAACCAGGAATTCTGTGCCCCTGCATCTCTGCAGTGACATACAAAGGTTGTGTCGCAAACCCTAAGGGTCCATGTACTCATATAGTATATACATTGGCCTTTATGTGGTCCCTATATAGGTACTTTGGGGCCCAAGTATATACTATTTGGGTACATGGACCCTTAAACCCTAAACCCTAAACCCTTATAGGAAACCCTATAGAACCCTTGTAGGGACCCTTAAAAGGAACCCTATTTGGGTACATTGACCCATATTAAGGCTCTTGGGCCCAAAGACCATACTATATAAGGCTTTTGTGCTATTTTCATCCCTAGGTAAGTTAAAGGATATACATGTGGGAGTTATATGTCCCTGTTTTTATAAACTTATTTGATAAGTAAAAGCACCCTCCCCAGCCCAAACACACCCTGAACTAGAGACCCCTAGAACCCGGCAGTATCCTTAGAGTATGTACCCTTATCATAGACAATTTAACAACAACCCTTCAGCACCCCGAACCCTCCTGTTGGAACTGCTGTGAAAGCCCTTATATACACTACATACGTGTACCAGGAACCCTTAAGGAACCTGAATTGAACCCTAAACCCTAAACCCTAAACCCTGAACCCTGAACCCTAAACCCTAAACCCTAAACCCTAAACCCTAAACCCCTCTCTGCGCTGCCAGAGCCCTGTAGCTGGGCCCCTGCTTTGCAGGGAGCGGAGAACAAGATCCAAGAATCCAGGCCCCTAAACCCCCAAACCCCTAAACTTTATGGGGTTTAGGGTTTAGGGTTTAGGGTTCAGGGTTTAGGGTTTAGGGGGCCCTAAACCATCCTAAACCCTGAACCCCTGTAAGGGTTTCCCGAAAAGGGCCTCCGTTAGGAGTGCCTTTCAGGGGTTGCCTTTCAGGCTTATGTGCCTGCAAAGGGTGCCACTTTACGGGTAGGGCTTGGGGTGGGGGGTCCACGGTGTAGGTTTCTTGCGTAGGAATTAAAACTGATAGCTTGAGAAACGCTTTAACGGCAAAGCTTCATGAAAAAACATGAATGTATGTTCCGTGTTTGGGTTTTCCCTAGACTCCAAACCCTAAACCGCATACAGTAAACCCCATAAAGTTGGAAACCGGATTAAGACCAAATAGTGCTGGGAATCCCTATACATTACTCAAAAGGATTGAGGCTATTGGGTTTCCAACTTTTTGGCTTCTACTATACTTCAGAACCTAGACCCTCCATCTACCCTCTATTAGACCCTAAATGCCCCCTTATTTGGGACCATATACCCTTATTTGAGGGTACAAGGAGGGTCCTGGAAGATTCGATGTCTTCCGCCGCTTCGAGAGGCAATGGGCTTCGACCCGGGGAGAAGTTCGAGGTTAAACGTTCCTGTGGGATTAAGGGCTCCTTGACGGGTTGAGGGTTTAGGGTTTAGGGGTTTAAGGCTCTTTAACGGGAGTCTTTAAAGCTTCCCTCAACTTTGTTCAAAGGTTCAAAGGTGCGTTTTGGCCCGAAATCTCGAACAAAAAAGTGAACCTCTCTCTCACGCATCAGCGGTATAACTCCTGCAATGCACATAATACGGAATATAGCATAATTCCCATAGTCAGGGGTCATGAAGGTAATGCAGGATTTGTATCATCAACCGTCAGGTGCGAGTTTGCTGCAGGATGGATGGAGCCAGCCGAATAACCAGGCGAGCCCATGTAACATGGCTGCGCAATCATGCATACAGCGATACCTGGTCTTGTTGTCCTTCTCTTTGTTTCTTGTTCCGCAAAAATCGTGGATGCTGAATCGCTTGGTCCTGTACACGAGTCTCCCATCCCAATAGACTTATGATGGTGGTTGTCAAAATTATGGTTCCTTTTTTGGGTACCCTAAATATTAGGTGCCGTATTATAATAACGACCCAAAAAGGGACCATTATTTTGACAACCACACATGAGGAAGACGGCAGCTACCATGGCTACTCCGTAAACTCTGTGTTTATTGCTGCGGCTCGAGCTGATGGCCGCCTTATCCTTGCCACAGTTGGGTGGTTGTCAAAATGATGGATCTTAGGGATTACTATGAACGAACCCTTATAAGGGACTACTTTACTATTATTGGGGATTATATGGGAGTTTGTCAAAATTATGGTCCCCTTTTTGGGTCCTTATTATAGTACGGCACCTAATTGTTAGGGTACCCAAAAGAGGCCAGAATTGTGACAACTACCCGACATCTTGACTGTGACGACCAGCACCATCTCCGGCATCATCATCATCGGCAGCAGCAACAGCATCAGCAATCTGCATCACCATTCTCGTCCCCACTGTTCCATGCCGATGCTTGTGCAAACTTGCTGCTGGGGAAGAGGAGGAGGAGAAGGACCAGGCGACGACGAGGATGCTGATGATGAAGCGAGACAGGATGATGATGTCGGATCAGACATGAACACTACCAGACTGCAACCCTCAATCTGTCCCAGCAGCCTTCGGTGGCGGTGGCGGCACAGCGTCTTCTGATTGCAAGGCTGGTTTCTACCCCATGGTTTAGGTTCTCTTGACGGTTCTACAAAGACTTGGATTTTGGGCCGTTGGGTTAGGATCGAGGCTTGAATAGGTGGAGTCGAGCTCTGCCTCTGTCAGGGCTGCTTCCTCTTTTTCCGAAACCGGTTACCGCAAGGGTTGCTATAAACCACTAGTTACAAAAGTGTAAGGGCTACTGTAAGGTTTACAGTTAAAAAGCAGCCGGAAACAACCCCAAAGCCCCCAGAACCGCATAAGATCGCGAACCCTACGCCCTTGAAACATGTTGAACCACTGTCAACTCTAGCCAAACCCTGACCCCTAAACCCCTAAAGCCGAAAAGCCCTAAACCTCTAAACCCGTCAACCTAACCCCTTAAACCCTGGGGCCTCAAAACTCGAGGCCCCAAACCGGAAGCCTGAAACCCCAACCCCGCCTCAACTCTAAACTCCGACCCCTGCAGAAGATGACGACGGTGGAACACAACTTAGGGCCGAGGGCACCCACCGATGATACGGTTTTTATGAAGCCTACACACTGAAAATCCCCAAACTTCTACATCCCACCTATAGTCTCCATTGTAGTTCCTTTTTTTGGTTTCACCAATTATATATTATGGATCCTATAAGGCAACCCCCACAAGGAACTACAATGGAGACTATAGGCAAGAGATGAACTCAGAATGGCCTAGGTTCGACCGAGTGTAGGGTTCACACGTGGGTTGGTCTATGGTCGGGCTGTTGTTAACTCGAAGATCCTGAGGACAGCCAGCCTCTGCATTCAAACAAGACCCCAAGGGTCCAAAGGACGGTTTTAGGATCGTAGTTATGTAGGTTAGGATTTTGGAGAGTATATGAATATTAGGTACTTGCACCCTTGAGGAGTAAGAGAAAATTGTTCAGGGTGTAGGATTTGGTGTAGGGTAATTAGAGTATAAGACACACGGTATAGGGTTTAGCTGTTTAGGGTTCAGGGTTTAGCAGTACAGGGGTGGAGGGCTTGAAGGGCTCATAGTAGCATTCAGCAGAAGTGCCTGGCGACTATGTGGCACAATATGCGTAGTGATTCAGGCCTCTACGGCAAAACCTGAGACACCCCGTAAAAACTCTTGTATAAAACCCCGTATAACATCCTTACACTAAAGTCGATAAGGCCTCATAGAAGCGCTAGATGAAACCTTACAAACCTCTGCTACACCCTAAGCCCTAAACCCCTAAACCCTAAACCCCACACTACCGCAATTCGCAACCACAGAAACTCACTGTTCCCAACAGCTTCGGTTCTCGTGCCGGCCGCCTGCAACACGGTGCCCTGGAGCTGAAGCAAGCGTACATCACAACTCCAACTCGTTGATGGCTTCTGTTCTGTACATGCGCTCAGCCACTGCAAGCCCAAGCGTTGGACTCGAATCCCAAACCTTAAAGAAAGGTCTGGATTAACTTCTTGAACAAGATGGGAGCAATGCAAACAGCATAGCCCATATGCAAGTTTCATCTGTCATACGTAGTTCTCTGCTATCGAGCTCCATGCAAGGAGCCTGGGGGTCAAGCGGATGTACTCCAAACTCCATAGATTCCAAAGATGCCACTTGCTGGGGCCCTTGCTCTGGGGTGCGGTCGCACTTCGAAGACTGCAGCCGTGGAATTCGCTGGGAGGGATAGCTGCTAGCCGGCGAATCATGGAGAGATATGGAGAGACCAGCTTTTCCAAGATGAGTTTGGAACCATTGCCAGGAACACAAGCCAATGGCACTCGCTACTGGTTACTCAAAGGACTACGATGATTCGTGTAAGGACGATTGCAGGTCTCGTTTCAGGTGGTCCACGAACCGAAGGCTTCAAAACAGGTGTTCAGTGTTCAGTCATGGCACCCGATGAATAGAGCCGTCCCTAATGAGAGTTGTTCCCCTCAAAGAACAAGAAGGATCCTGGCTACGTGTGTACAACCAAAAGCACAGACACAACTCCTGATTCCACCACAAAACTCAGACGCAATGAGCTCAACCTAGTCGTACAGCTGAGGCTCACGCTGTTCCTGCCGGCTGCCTGCAACACGGTGCCCTGGAGCTGAAGCAAGTGTACATCACAACTCCAACTCGTTGATGGCTTCTGTTCTGTTCTGTACATGCGCTCAGCCACTGCAAGCCCAAGCGTTAGGACTCGAATCCCAAACCCGAAAGAAGGGTCTGGATTACCTTCTTGAGCAAGATCACAGCAATGCAAGCAGCATAGCCAATATTGAAAAATTCGTTCTGTCATACGTAGTTCTCTGTTATCGAGCTTCATGCAAGGAGCCTGGGGATCAAGCAAAGCGGATGTACTCCGCACTCCATAGATGCCACTTGCTGAGGCCCTTGCTCTGGGGTGCGGTCGCACTTCGAAGACTGCAGCAGTGGAATTCGCTGGGAGGGATAGCTGCTAGCTGGCGAATCATGGAGAGACCAGCTTTTCCAAGATGAGTTTGGAACCATAGCCAGGAACACAAGCCAATGGCACTCGCTACTGGCTACTCAAAGGACTACGATGATTCGTGCAAGGACGATTGCAGGTCTCGTTTCAGGTGGTCCACGAACCGAAGGCTTCAAAACAAGTGTTCAGTCATGGCACCCGATGAATAGAACCGTCCCTAATGAGAGTTGTTCCCCTCAAAGAACAAGAAGGATCCTGGCTATGTGTGGACAACCAAAATCACAAACACAAAGTCCAATGCACTGAGCAGGAGCTCACAACCACAGCTGAGTTTGACGCGGCCTTCCTGGGCGACTGATGTGGTGTACCTGGGTTGCACACATCGTGAACTCTCAAGCACTCACTGCGGTCTGCGAACGCAGCGTTGCCGCATGCAACAGCTCGTCTGGTGCCTTTTTCTTCGGGTCAGGGAGAGGCTTGGCCGGGTGCGCTTTCCCCCCCCCCCCCTAGAGAGATGGCGCTCCGAGGACAACTTCCTCTCTCGGCTCAAAAATTTCGGCCTGCGTGGTCATGACCATGTCAAGGGTCAGGAGGCGCGTGTACGCGTTGCTGCTCGGAGCCGGTGGGCGCTTCTCTTGCGGCTTCGGGTACAGACCCACCGCCTTCTCCAGTGGCAACACCTGCAGCAAGTCAAGGCTCAGAAACAAACTCTGTCGGCCCGGACTCGTGCCTGCCTGCAGGAGAGGGTTTTGCAAGAGGAGGTTCATACTTGCCGCGTGGTCCCACAGAACGTGGGGTGCCACGTCGGGTTGCATCTTCTTTGCAAGGTCCGCCCGGAGCTCCTGTTGCAACTTCGGATGCTTTTCGTTTTAAAAAATATGGGACCTACGCTTCGGTTTTCCGGCGTCCTTCGGGGAGGGTGGCTTCGTCTTGTACATCTCAAGGCGGTTCCTGTACTCGCCAAAGCCACCGTTGCAGAGGCGGACGAGCTCCTACAGGACCTGCCAAGTGATCATGGCGCGAAACCACATTTTTGAGTTGGGGCCGCTGGCCTTCTCCTTCGAGACGGGCAGCGACCGGGAGCAGTTGTTGCACCGACAACCCTCCTCGTCGCCGCACACGCCAAGCTGCGCCAGCTCCAGCTCGGTCTCTGGCAGGCGTGCCATGGCAGTGTGGCTGTGAGGGGAGGGGGCAGCGAGAGAGAGCTAAGCGATGCTGAGCGAATGAGCGGCTGCAAATCCCAGGGCTTTAAGTAGCCTGCACACACTTTCGCGCTCGCTCGATGGTCGGCTAGTAGCCGACCTTCTGGCGTCGTGGTAGGCAAGCCCCATCAAATTCATTCCAACCTTTTGCTTAAGCCTCTTTGTCCCTAAGCCCTGGACCCTAAGCCCTCCACCGCCAGCCCTAAACCCCATACCCCTAACCCTAAAGCCCTTTACCCTGGCCCTCACGAAAGCCCTCAAACCTTTAACCCTGATTGTCTGAACCTTAACACCAAAAAACCTACCGTTTTAAGGATGTATATCAAGAAATCATATTAGGGAACCCTAAACAAGGTAGGTTCCTTAGGGTCCAGGTAAACCTTCAAAAACCCGTCTGGTAACCACTTAATGGTGCCCTTAAAGGAACGCTTTGGGTATAGGCTCTCTTCACTACCAGGTCTAACTATTCTATACTGAACTTCGAACCCTAGCAAAAATTATAATTTTAGCTGTTTCTTTGGGATTATAATAACCAAAAATTAAAAATCATTTCTAAGTACCCCTAAGTATTGCATTTCTCCTGCGGCTCCTCACCTCCTTGCCTCGGCTCAGGAGTGGACCTGGGACAAGTGGCTTCAAAGTAAGAGCCCACAGGAGGGTTTCGGTTTAGGGTATAGGATTTAGGGCTTAAAGGTTAAAGTTTAGGGGTTAAGGTTTAGGGTTGAGGGTTTAGGGTTTAAAGGTTAAAGTTTAGGGGTTAAGGTTTAGGGTTGAGGGTTTAGGGTTTAAAGGTTAAAGTTTAGGGGTTCAGGTTTAGGGTTGAGGGTTTAGGGTTTAAAGGTTAAAGTTTAGGGGTTAAGGTTTAGGGTTGAGGGTTTAGGGGTTTAGGGTTTAGGGTTTAGGGTTTAGGGGTTTAGGGGTTTAGGTTAGGGTTTAGGGTTTAGGGGTTTAGGGGCTTAGGGTTTAGGAGTCCGAAAGTGGGATCTAGGGTTGCACTTAGAGGCCCAGGGGACTATTAGTAAGTAGGTTATAAGTAGGGTTATAAGTACCCTAAATGGAGCTACCCCAATTACAACCCTACTTATAACCTACTTACTAAGTCCCCTGGGCCTCCAAGTAGGGTTCAGGGATTAGTGTTCCTCAAAGGGCCGCCTAGAAGGGTTTAGGGTTAGGGGTTTGGGGTTTAGGGGTTTAAGGAGGGCTCTAGGGGTTCAGGATTTAGGGTACCTACTTATAACCTACTTACTAAGCCCCCTGGGCCTCTAAGCAGGTTTACGGCTCGGCTGTTGGGTTCCAGCTGCGAATTATCCGAAGGTGTCCGAAGCCCATTGCTCTGAGCCCGACAAGTCCCCAGAGAGACCAATACCCCTTAACTAAGGAATAATTTAGGGGCTCCTTTAAGGGCTCTATAAGGGATCTTTAGGGCTCCTACCCCTTACTTAAGGAATATAGCTTAAATCATAATATGAAGCCCTATATGGTTTAAGCCATCTTCCTTAATTAAGGGGTATTGGGCTCTCTGGGTCTTGATCCTGTAGAGACTGTAGTCCTGAGCGACTCATTGGCGACCATGGTGGCACAGGGCTGGGGACTGGGGAGCTAAACAACCAGACCTGTTGTAGTAGTAGTCGTCGTCGTAGTAGTAAAAGTAGACGTCGCAGTAGTAGTAGTAGTAGTAGTAGTAGTAGTAGTAGTAGTAGTAGTAGTAGTAGTAGTAGTAGTAGTAGTAGTAGTAGTAGTGGTAGTGGTAGTGGTAGTGGTAGTAGTAGTAGTAGCAGCAGTAGTATCAGTAGTAGTCGTCGTCCTCCTCCTCGTCTTTATCCTCGTCCTTGTGGTCGTGGTCATGGCACTGGTAGCAGTAATGCAGGTGGCAGCGGTAGTGCATAGTGAGTATTGGAAAAGGTAGCAGTGAGTAGAAGTCGTCGTCGTCGTCGTAGAGGTACTAAAAGGTCTAGCACTGCTACCACTATTACTACTACTACGACGACTGCTACTAATGCTGCTGCTACTACTACTACTACTACTACTACTACTACTACTACTACTACTACTACTACTACTACTACTACTAGTACTACTAGTACTACTGCTCCTACTACTGCTCCTACTACTGCTACTACTAGTACTACTACTACTACTACTACTACTACCACTAACCACCACCACCACCACCACAACCACCACCACCACCACCACCACCACCACCACCACCACCACCACCACCACCACCACCACCACCACCACCACCACCACCACCACCACCACCACCACGGTCCCCTGTTTTCGGAAACTCCCATTTCTGTGCCAAGACGCGACGGAGCCGCCGACGCTCCGGAAGCTGCCTCCTGCTCGAGCAAGCAGGGTTTCAGGGTTTAGGGTTGATGGTTGAGGGTTTAGGGGTTGAGGGTTGAGGGTTGAGGGTTGAGGGTTTAGCGGTTTAGGGTTTAGGGGTTTAGGGTTTTAGGGGTTTAGGGGCTTAGGGGTTTAGGGGTTTCGGGTTGAGGGTTCAGGGGTTTAGGGTTTAGGGTTCAGGGTTCAGGGTTTACGGCTTAGCGTTTCGGATCTCGAATGCCGGTTTAATGCATGGCTTTTTAAAAGGCAGGTGATGGATTCATAAAGGGGCTGTACTGGCTTCATATACGGTATTACAAGGTATGGGGTGAGGTTGACCCTAAACCGTATAATCCTAGAGGTATAGGGTGAGGTTCGGTTTAGGGTTGAGGTCACAGGGTTCCAGGTCTTCGAGGTTCGTCTTGTACTACCAGGACACGTATATACAGTAAGCTGAGTCCTTGGTCATTTCACGGGGCCTGTAGGCGTTCCTTTAAGCAATCTACCAGGGCTCCTTGAAGGGTATAGGGTTTAAGGTACTACTGCCTCCTCGATAGGACCTTTACTAACCCTCTGGCTGAAATTAAGGAAGTTCCAGAAAGTTGGAATATGATGATTATCCTAAACCCTGTATGGTAAATCATAAGGTATCCTACCCTGAAACCATATTCCAACTTTCTGGAGTTCCCTTTAAGGAAGTTCCAGCATCAAAGGTCCGTGGGGACGAGAGGGGTCAAGATGCTAGGGCTTTGCGCCGACTGGGGGGCTTTGAGGGCTTGGGCTCTGTGGGTCCTTGGCTGACTCCTGAGCCCCTGCAAAAAGTTAAACCTTTAGCCTCCTTATTATAGATAGAAACCCAAAACGTTAAAGTCCTAAGAGTCAACAAGAAGAACGGCAAGGTATGGGCGCAAGTTCAAGGCCCGTAGAGTTTCTAGCTTGGGTTTAGGTCTTGGGTTTGGGGTAATGAAGTGGTGTTTGGCTTCGGATGTTTGGAGCATTGATGCGGTAAGGAATCCTTAGTAGCTTCGAAACAGTTCGGACAGCAAAAGGCCACGTATACTCTCAGAATAATGCAAGAATAATGCAAAAGTGTAGAATCACACACGCTTCAAAGATAAGACCCTAAACCCTAAACCCCAAACTGTGAACTCCAACAAGAAGCCGGAGCTGTCCTTACACCCATAGCCCATGACCTAAGCCTTAAACCCCAAACCTCAAGCCCTGAATCCCTGTAAAACCTTACCGTCAACTCTAACTTAAACTAGGCCCTAGGCCCTAAACTCCTTGATCGCCGGCGCTGATCCTGAGAGAGCGAAAGGCTTTCAGCTTCCTTTGTTGGAGGGTTCTCTAAGGCCCCTTTGAGGCCTCAACAAGGCTTCCTTTTGGGCGTTTTGCAATTGCCTTTAAGGGTATTGCGTTCTGTGGTAGGGTTGCCTTCAAGGGCTCCGTCAAAGATACTATTTAAGGGTTCGAGAAGGCGTCCTCTCAGGATTCATTGAAGGTGCCTGTAGGGGTTCCTTCAAATCCTCAAGGGCTCCTTTACAGGTGCCTTTAAGGATTTCTACAAGAACTCTTTCAATAGGGAGCTCCTGTTGGAGGATTCTGCAACGGTTGTATCGGCTGAGGGTTCAGGGGTTTAAGACTCCAAAACCTACAAGGATACTTATTTCAGGGTTCTTAGGATTTAGGGTTTAGGGTTTAGTGGTTTTGGGCGTCGGATTGAGGTTTTAGGGGTGGAGGACGCTTAGCGTGGGGCATTTTAGGGGCTCCGAAACCTAAAACCCAACCCTGAAACCTCTAAACAGCTCGGATCTTCGGCTTTACTGACTTGCGGCTTACCTTTAAATAATTAGTAGGGAATGGAGGAATGGGGTACTATTATACCTACTCTTACTACCATCCTTCCATTCCCTACTAGCCAAAGGTAAGCCGGGCGGGCACTATCGGGTGTGGTTAAGACTTGCGGAAATTAGGACTGGGAGTTTGAGCGTCACACGAAGCTCCTGGTCAAAGTGGCAAGGCTCCTATATCAAACCCTCTAAGCCCCCATCACGGAACCCGCATAGACCCCTTTTCAAGAACCCTTTCCCTGAACCCCGTTCGAATCATCAAGGTCCTTATATATGGGTAGTTCTCCACAATGATGGGGTCTTTTCAAAACTTCTGTTTATGAGGGTGCCGTGCTCTGGGGTTTCTGAAAAAGAGACCCTACCCATATAGCATAGTCGCCCTAATTCAGAGCACTACCCATATGAAAGCCCTTATACTTACCTCCCTATACGTAACACCTTGACCCTAAACCCTGAGCCCTAAACCCTGAACCCTAAACCCAAAGCCCTTGCTTCAACGCAGCAAGACACCGGCCTGGTTGGGCAGTCGGCGCGGTCTGCCTTGGTCAGGCAGCTCCACAGCAAACTTGGGTGTTGCGGTCGTGGATTTTGAAAGGTTGAGGGTTGAGGGTTTAGGGGTTTTAGGCTTTACGATGCTTTAAGGATTTAGGGTTTAAGGGTTTACCAGTTTTAGGGAGTAGGGTTCAAGGTTAGTTTACGGGTTGAAGGGCTGTGGGTTTTAGGGTTTTCGATTCGGCAGCTAGGGTGAATGGTGGAGCCGTCAGGGGTGGTCTTTAGGGCTCAAGTACCTGACAATTTAGTATTTGGGTTTGAGACACATACAATTTTCTTGCGCAAATATGACCCTAAAACCCTAGACACTAACCCCAACACCCCTGAACCCTAAATCCTTGAACCATGAACCCCTAAACCCTAAACCATTACGAGGTACCTGCGACACTTGGCTAGACCCAGGAGTAACCTAGGCATAAAAAGGGTGCCCTTTTTGGTTTGAAGGGGCTTACAAGGGAACCTGAACCCCCAAAACAGGGAATAAGGGCCTACTCTAGGTCCTAGTTGGGGTGGATTTTCAGTTTCGGGGGCTTGGAAGGCACGGCGGACGAACCGGGGGAGGGATAGCAAGGATCTCTACACTGGGTTCTCCTTAAGGGAAACAAATAATTTAAGTTACCGTAATAAGGCAACCATACTATTTGCTATAGATCCTTATTATGGTAAATTAAAGTATCAATGGTCTACCCAAAAGCTGAATAAACAAACCTTAAGCCCTAAACAAAGCCCTAAACCCCTAAACCCTAAATAGCATGCTGTGTACCAGGGTTATGGCTGCAGGCGTTTATGAACATTGAAAGTCTTATCAGCCTCTCGTACACACACCGGGTTGGGCGTTTAGAGTGCCGGTTTCGGACATACATCCTACATCCTAAACCCTATAATTCCTAAACCCCGATAGGCCTAAACCTCGAGCTGCAAACCCTAAATCCAAAGCTCCTACAGTAGAAGCCAGAAAGTTGGAAAATCATTATCATACTCCCTTTAAGGTAAATTATAGGGGATCCTGCCACTATTCCATATTCCAACTTTCTGGAGTTCCTTTTAAACCCTAAACCTCGAACCGAGAGTACATCGTATCCGAAACCCTACATCCCAAACCCTAGACCCAGCCTAGACCCCCAACTACCCTCTATTATATTCCAAATACCCACTATCAAGGACCATAAGGAGTCTATCAAAGAGCCTTTGGGGGTTCTACCCTGTACTTGAAAATCCTGGGTCCCGGACATCCCAGGTGCCGGCGGGCCATGGTTCCAGCTGACCTGAAGGCGGACCTTGCAGATCCACGGTTGTAGGGTTTGGGGTTTAGGCTTAGGGTTTAGGGTTAGTTAGGGGCCTCAATATAGAGGGTTTTGGTTTTAGGATAGGGTTGCTATAATCGTGCTATAATAGGTTATTAGAAGGGCTGCAGTATAGGAGCCTTAATCATTAATTGGAATAACGTTTGGGGGTAAATCAACAGGCCGTGGAACTACTGAAACGATTGAAGCCTCTATGGCCACCAGGCTGCAACAACTCCTGAAAAAACGAAGAGTCGGAGCAAAGGAAAGAAAGCAACAGCGGAGGGAACACCTGGGCATGTAGTACGATGTAGTATATCTGCATGCTTGCTTCCCCGCACCACCACAACCACCACCACCACCGCCGCCACTACCACCCAGCATGCAAATCGGGGACTCTACTGCTTGGGTCTCCAGGCGCAACCAACACTCCGATGTCGGCCCTTCTTGCCGGGACTAAAGGGAACTCCAGAAAGTTGGAATATGGTTTCAGGGTAGGATACCTTATAATCTACCATAAAGGGCTCAGGATAACCATATTCCAACTTTCTGGCTTTTACTTTAAAGGGATGTCAGGCACAAGTTTTAAACTAAACCCCTCCGACCCTAAAAATCCAATCTTGAAAGTGTAAACCCTCAACTCTCGACCCTACAGCCGAACGCCAGGCACAACTGCCGGGCTCGGCCTGTCGCAAGACGTGCGCGACCTTCGCGATGATGGCGCGCCACGCGGCGTCTGCGACCAGAGACCTGGCATCCCGGGACTTCTGCAACTCCTCAACGTTTGACCTCCACGAGGTTGGTGATGCGGAGGCCGGTGTGGTTACAGCCTGCAGGCTTCCTCTATTCCACGGGGTCGCCAAAAGAACCTAACGATTGCCGCAAACATCGAGTCCACTTTGATTCCGCCGCTTTTTTCTGCAAAAGGCTTGGACCATCTGAATCTCTCTTGCTGACCACTTGGGCAAGCTGGACATGCCTCTGCCCAGCAGTCGAATACCTTTAGGGTTTAGCGGTTGGTTCAGGACTGAAAAAAACCGCGATGGAGAACATGAGCATACCTCATGTAGGGCTGATATGGATAGGCAACGGTTCGGGTGCGCAAAGGCCTCATCATGCAATGCAGGTCAGCTACGAAGTTTGCAAACATGTACCGTGATCCTAAACCCTGAACCCCAAACCCCAATTTACGCACCACCATAAGCGCTAGTAGTTACAGGTGTGGCATCGGGGATACCTTAAACCCTACACCCCTAATATCGGTCAAATGCCCCCCCATTATGGATACCTTAAACCTTCAACCCGAAAAGTGAACCTCAACCCTGAACACTTGGTTAAAGGCCCCATACTTCGGATACCCGAACCCCAAACCCGAGACCCCGAACCTAATTGACTTGGTCCGGTCCCCCTAAACCCCAAACCCTAAACCCCCCCCCCTCAAGCAGCAGACGGTCGGATCGCGAATCTCAGCCCAAAACGAGGCCTCAACAAGGCCGGGTTTAGGGTTTAGCGTTCAGCAGCTCCGGGTCGAGCAGTTTTAAAGTAGAGTTGTGTTTACGGTTTAGAAATAACACCCACCCTTAGAATCCCATAACATTGAGACAATACAAAGGTTCACTTCGTTCGTGGTTCGTGGGCAAGGCCCAGACCTTCGTGGGCAAGGCCCAAAATTTCTGATTTTGGGCCTTGCCCGCGAAATCCATTAGGGTTTAAGGTTCCTTTGATAGAGAGGGTTTAGGGGTTTAGGTGTTTAGGGGTTTAGGGGTTAGGGGTTAGGGTTTAGGGGAATCCGCCCCTGTGGTTCTAGATAAGGCTCATAACAAGAATCATAATGCTCATGAAGACGATGATGACAATGAGAGCATTAGCAATAGCGACGCGAACAACTCATGGCAGTAAGGGCAGTTGTGATAACAATAGTACGTAATACTTGTAACAGTAGCAACACTTGTGATAACAAGATGAATATCCCTAGAACAAGTTGCAAATAATAGTAACAAGCGAAATAAGGGGCAAGAAAGGCAGCAATAGTTCCAACTTTAATAACAGGAAACAACAGTATTTATCATGAATCACAGCGATAATGATGAGTTCGGGTGTCGTTAACAAGGAGCCCGGGTTGGAGTTAGGGTATGTGAGATAGGTGCATGTATTATACATAGGGGCCTATATGGAGGCTTTGCAAAGGCTTTGTGCTATAACACGCAAAAAACACCCTTTGGTTTAGATGCTACCTTTGGAATACATCATACAACCATTTTGTGGTAAGACTCATTACAACTGACTGGGGCCCCGTAGACGAGGACCTGGAGTAAGTGTCCGGGCTTGAGTTTTCAAGCTAAGCCCTCAGAAAGCCGTAATTATCAGGATCTGCAGAGGCACTCATAAGCCAAACATCCAAGCACTTCTGCCTCAAATACGGGGTTGTCGAGAATTTGCTCCATTTGAGGCCACTGTGTTGACAGAAAGTTGCTATATACACATAACAGCAGAAACCACAGCACGCATCCCAAAAACCCCAAGCCCTGCAACCCGAAGCCCGAAATGCCCAATTCACAAACTCCGAAACTTACATCTCAAGCAGGTCCATGTTCATGGAATCTGGAACTCTTGCAATTGCGTATGACCCTGTACAGAAACCTAGGCCAAAATAAAGTAAAAAAACACCACGCGCCGCTACGTCTGCTCGATCCTTTGCACGCCGAACTAAGGGTCCGAACACAAGTTACAATCTAGCGTGTGAGGATACAAGACACGTGACAGTAGTGAAAGCTGCAGAAGAAATACACGAATACAATCACAGCGATAGGAAATTATCAATACGGAGCATTAAAGGCAGCAATGTATACACATTTATACTACTGGTAACTTAAACCCCTGCACCCTAAACCCCTAAACCCTAAACCCCAAACCCCTGAACCCTAAAATACCCTACATCCCTATAAACCCTAACACACCCTAAAACCCTAAACTCCTGAACCCTAAATAAACCCTCTAGTTCCTAAGGTCCTAAACCCTAAACCCCCCAAAGCCCCATTTCGCCGCTGAGGGCGCCGCATCCGGTCCCGACAGGTCGGCGATCCGCCCGTGCGGCCCGGTCGTCACCTTTTGCCGGATACTTAGACTAGGATACCCAGTAACCTAAAGATTAAAAAGGCCTCTCTTTTTGGTATTGGGTAACTTTATAAGGAACCTTGGACTACAAAAAGGGAATAAGGGTACTACTGGGCATCCTAGCCAATAGCCTCAAACCTCAAGAGTAATATATAGGGAATCCCAGCACTATGTGGCCTTACTCCAGGAATATTCCTTAAACTTAAACTTTGTAGGGCTTCATAGTATGATTTAAGCTATATTCCTTAATCAAGGGGTATTAGAGAGTCTCTGGGTACTTAGAGACCCAGGGGACTTAGCCTTAAAGGGTTCCCTAAAGGGGATCTATAAGGGTTCTAAAAGGGTTCTATAAGGGTTTTACAGAGAGCCCGATACCCCTTGATTAAGGAATACTTAGGGATTCGTTTAAGGGATCTATAAGGGATCTTTAGGGTTTAGGTTTAGGGTTTAGGGGGTTCTAATACCCCTTGATTAAGGAATATAATATAGCTTAAATCATACTATGAAGCCCTATACAGTTTAAGTTTAAACCATATTCCTGAATTAAGGGGTATTGGGCTCTCTGGGTAGCTGTAAGGGTAAACCAAGGACCCCCTCAAGTACCCTTTAGTAGAGCCCTTATGGTCCTTAATTCGCGGCATTTAGGGTATAATAGAGGGTAGGTGGGGGTTTAGCCATCTCCAAGATGCAACATTTAACGCAAACAACCCAGTGTCCACCTAGAAACCCCCCATTCCTCTATTATAGCTTTAATACACAATAGTAGGGACCATGCGTAAGTTATACGGGCTCTACTAACCTACACTCACCGGCTTCCATAGATGGGCGTTTCATAATCACAAAGTCACTAATATGACCCTACCTGATTGCCCATTTCCGGGCACAGTGGCAGTCTGCAAAGGCGTCGCCTTGGTTCTCAATCCTCTGTCTCCAATGCTTGAGGGACAGCGCCCGGAAGAAATCCGCCCTTGGAATTCTGCACCATTTTAACGTGAAGCATGTAGTTAAACACTTGTCGCGCGCACACCATGACGGCGCGAGGTTCGCCATCCCTGGGAGTGTACACGCCAATGCGGATTCCGACAAGATCACCGCACGGGTTGATGCACGGTGTGCCAGAGTCGCCGGCCTTCGAACCTGCTGTATGGTAATAGGCCCCGATGACCCCGGGCACTTGCTCTTGCGCACGAGAAGCGATGGCTACCAGGTGCAGCAAGCAAAACCCAAATAAGTCCAGGCCTCCTCCTTCCTCGTGTGAGTAGCTGTCCTCGACATCAGTGAGGTCAATTGGTCCTGCACATCTTAATAAGTACTGCCACCCAGAGCACGACACCAATCGTTTGCCGCAAATCGCACGGAGAGAATCCTAACCATCCTTCGTTGCTCGGCTTGCGTTTCTCAACACCCTTCTGCCCGCTCTTGCCATCTTGCCCTGCAGCATCTTTCCGGTGGTCAAAGTGCGAAACTGGTTGCGCTAATTATTCCCATGTGCGGGCAGCAGCAATGTGCGAAGGACACCCTGCGCCCTCTAGTTCAAAAGCCCTAAACCTAAAGAGTGTTCCTAGACCCTAAACCCTACATTCCAAACGCTACACAATCTGGTTCCTAAACCCTGAACCAAAACTTTACACTCTAAACGCGACACCCTGCGGTTCCTAAACCCTTAAAGTCTACTCCTGGTAATTCCAATCCTGTACTAGACCCAAGAGTAGCCTAGGAAGAAAAAGGGTGCCCTTTTTGGTTTAAACAGAGCTGCGCTAAGTCAACTGGGCTTGAAACTGTTCACCTGTTCAAATATCGCAATCGTGAATGACGCATCTTTTCACCCTGGCAGTCGCGACAGTCACTGGAATTGGCCGCGGTTCAGACCTGGGCGAGCGTGGATCTCAACTTCGAGACATATGTTCGACTCGCACACTCGCACACGGCAAGCACGGCTCACCACTGACTCGGTTTAGTCTGCAGAAATATTTACGGTTTAGGGGTTTGGTAAACACGATGCATTCTTTTTGCCTGCCAATCACCCCGGGATCATCCATTGGTACTTCGATACCGAAGCATGCAGGGTCACCGCCGTTGATTGTTTCTGAAGATAAGGATGACGATGACGACTGTTGTTATTCTCACCCTGATGCTGAAAGCGATCGGACCGTATGTAAGTAGAAGCTGTAGCTTGTAGAAAGTCTCACAACTCACCGGCACCCTGCACACTTCATACAGAAATCCTACTCTGCATGCCACAGCTGCAGGTGAGCTTCCTTGTAACGTTTGCCTTCACCTGTTTCCAACCAAGCTTTCAGGTGGGACTTCACCACGGATGGAGCGGACTTATTTGCGTTGTCTCGCAGGTTGCGCAGAGAAACAGGCAAGGCCTGGATAGACCTTGTCGGGAGGATCCACAAGAAATGATTTTACTAAACAGTGAACAAACGTAATAGGCATTGAAATAGAAATGTTGAAACAACACTCGAGGGACCCCTCTCTGGTGACATCATCCAACACCGTTTTCAATAAATCAGGGAGCTCTGACGGGATGGATCCAGACCGGTGGTCTGAAAGCATCGCCCTGATCTGCTGGGCACCCATGGCGAAGTCGTTCACCGTCAGGGGCGAGGTCAGCATCACCATGTCTTCCTCGGAATGACCGGCGAGTGCCGTGGTCAGTCTTCCAGAATCTTCGAGGGCTGATGCGCGATTGGAGACCTGAAGAACCTGGGTGGTCTTCCTCACCATTTTCTGCTTTCGCATGTCTTTCATATTCTTGGCCACACATGCTTTCAGCAATTCGTCTCGCTCCTGACCTAGGCAACTCACCATTGCCTGCGCAAGGAGGGCTCGGTCAACGGCTTGCGCAGGCGAAAGCTGCTGCATTGTATGAAATTGGTGGTGAAGAATTGACCCTATCCTCTCGACTGAAGCTTCTGGCACATGCAGCATTCTGTATCTATGAAAGACTCGCGCTGCGTGCCAGCAGCAAGTATGCTGCAGCAAAAGCCTATGATCACCCCTGTCGCCAGGCCCCCTTCCCACGGCAAACCATGGAAACAGCGTGAGATCCTTAGCGATGGCCCCATAGTCGATCTTCACCGCGCAGTCCAGAATCATCACTAGTTTCCCTGCCATGGTGCCTTGCAAGATCTTTGCTATCGTCCCCCGGCAGCCCTGTTGCAAGATCTCAGACCTGGCTCTCTTCCCAGTGACCCTGCGGCCGTAGCCAGGGTGACCCAAACCTGGATTGTTTTCTTGGCATGATCAATCAGCAATAATAGCTAACAGAAGTTGCTCAGTACCCCGCAGACTGGAGCTTGCGTCACCCTATACTAAAATCGTGTACAAATCACTAGAAGCATTGATTCATGAGTCCAGCGGCCATCACTGCTGACAAGGAAATCACCATAAGCATCTGGCGACAATGACCAGCCGTTCAGGTTGCCAGCGAAAGCAGAAATGAGATGTAGCAGTTTGCATTGTTGTGCATGAGCACACCGCAAGTGATTGCACAAAGGCCACAACGTTCGAAAGCAGAAAAGAGGCCTCACCTGGAACCTTTCGGCCACTTTCCACCGTTGTGCAGATTCCGCCACATCACGTGGCACTGAGGCGTGGCCTGAAGCAGCATGTCTCATACGCAGAACGAAGAGTTTGTACTGTGTGAGCAGTTCACCCTCCGGCAAGTTCCAGCTGCGCCTGCGGCATCGTCGAGAAAATGACATGTTTGCTGACACTGGCATGCACTCCCAGCCTACTATGCTAGACTCTGTTAAAACCTAGAAGATAATCTACCGTTCAGGCCTCACACCAGCAAAGATTTCTGCATCGGGCCATCTGGTGTTCTGCAAGAACGGCTTCAAGACTTTCACAAATTCAAGGAAAGCTTCACCGTTGGCTCGCAAGTTGGGTGAGTCTCGTTGCAATATCGCGCCCCAATCAAAGGCTCGTGCTCCAAGATCGCGGATTTTCTGCATGTCATCGTTCACCCCGACGTGAGAGAGCATACCCGAAAGTTCTTCCACAAATGAATCGACGGAGGCCGTCGCACTGTCCAGCGCTCCCAAAACGTCCTGGTTTGAACCCTGGGTTTCGGACCTATACGGCTTACAATGCAACTTCACATTTCAAATCCTGACTTATCTGGCAGACTCGGTCCTGGCAGACCCCATACACCAATTCCGGGACTTGGCAGCGTGACCCTGCCGCGGGCGTGATATGGGGTCGCATGGCATTCTCACCCAACACCACCTCTGCGCTTCGCTGGTGTTTTTGAATACGTGGCCTCTCCGGGTGGTCTTCAATCGCACCGCACATCGTCCACAGCGGCACTCTGATGCGTCTTGACCGCCCCCTCCGCTCAGGCCGTGAGTAAATGCGGATGTAGGCCTGGTTGTCACCCAATTCGGGATGGGGGTTGCGCGCCACGCGGCGCAGTGCCAGTTGCTTGCGGTTTTGTTGCAAGCACTGGCAGTGCGGCCCCAAGCAACGGTATTGTTCATCACCCTGGTGCACTGTTGTCTGAAGGGCCACATTGTGAAGCTTCGGCGGGAGCATGAACACAATGCGCATGATTGTCGCAAGTAAACCGGGAACCTGTCGTGAGGCCTTCGTGTAGCAAAATGCGTCCAACAGCCGAACGACTTCACCCGGAGCGCAGTGCTGCCTGAGCAGTGTGCTCACCAGTACGATCTGCTTGATCTTTGCCAATCCCTTCTTGCACGAAGCGAGCTTGTCCATGGTCTCAGTGGCAGCTCTCTGAAGTTCCTGCGGCTCAGCTGTTCGTTGCACTATCAGCGAAAAAGGTGTCATCACCCTGGGAAAGAAACTTTCAAAGAAGGCCGCAAAGGTGATAAAGGAGACATTCGTCAGCCTCCGACCCACATCCATTAAGGCCTGTAGACTGCGGGCTCCATGACCACTCTGTTTCCATGCCTCGGCGAGACAGCGAAGCATCCGGAGACAAAGTCTAAACACGTAAACCCTAAGCCACTAAACCGTAA